AAAAAAAAAGAGGAAACAAAGAGACAGGGAATCGGCGAGATGGGGAACTTGTACCTATTTGTACGAAGCATATATTGCACGTTACGTTGTACAATATAAATAGTTTATTACGCAGTACGCCATTTATATACTCTATGATATTGTTATTACTTATATTCCTTACCGATATTCCGACATTATTGCCATAGCACGGATTATTATCAGCCCTCTGTCATTGGTCGAACGACGTTTGACGATCGAGAATCACCGAGGGTGCAACATCGTGAAGAGCGAGCGATTAAAGAGAAATTTCGACTACTCTTCAAATTCTGACAATTCCATGTAGTGAATTCGTTTGTGAAACTGCACCCGACAGGCACACGTCGTTCGAAACATAACGATGAAATTAGGAGAGAAGTCGAAAGTGTTGCAAGTTTCTATCTAGTATGCGACTTTGACTGCGAAACTTGTTAAAAAAGTTTGGAGTTTAAGATCACGATACGCACCTTCGATTTCACCATATTAACCAGTGTTGCATTTATATATTTGTTCCTGAGCATTTTAATCGTATAACGTTAACTACACACTGTTACTATGTATGCTATGTATCATCTATCGTGATTCCTCGTTGTTTATCGGAATAAGAGCGTAAGTTCTGTCGACTCTGGACTCGTCGAAACTATAATACTATATTGCATATGTTTGAAAATCTCTGTGTGTAATTTCTCTAAATTAACTGTTCGATTGTGGCCGAGATTGAAATTATTCTTCTTGCACGTGTGTACTTTAGCAAATTGCAAACGTATTTCTCATCAGTGCAAGATTCATCTCAATTTCTTTATAAAAACATAAGAAAAGAAACTGTGTTTCCAATAATTGGCACGTGCACGTGTAGGAAATAGGAAACTGTGCATGTTACATATCGTCGACGAATCTTGCACGACAGACTTAGCTTATTCTCTTAATCTTGAAACACGTGGCAGAAATATCAGTAGCTCGTAGCTTGTCAAAATTATTTCCGTATGGAAAGGTACCAAAAGCATTTATACAACCATATTATAAATATTATATACATATGCGTATTAAGCGTAAGTTTCACTCTGATGATGGAAAGGATCCACGGAACCGTAGGGAAAACAAAGGAAAAGACATTCTTCTTTCGTCTTCTTTCGTTTTCAGTCACAGCAAATGACAGTGCCTTATTAGAAGCCCTTCGTAAAGTGTCGAGGAAGGAGTGCTAAATAGAACTTTAAATACAGACTTTAACCACGTTAAAGTGTAAATACGCGGAACACAGTAGTGTCTCAAAGATTTCATAATAGATGAAAGCTATTCCTCCGATACATCGAGTTTCCTTATCCAGCGAAAAATTCGAAAATCATCAAAATTGTTGCTTCAGAAGAAAGAAAGAAAGAAAAAAAAACAAAACACGGCCCAGTCTTAATTGATCCTTACAAATATCACGGAACATTCGTTTCTATGCTCGGAGTTTTCTAAGGAAATGAAATAGCAAAGATGGAACAGTGAAAGGATATTGAGTACTCTTCTCCTCCGTGCTCCTTTTTTTAGATGTGACCAAACTAGGACACGACACACGATCGTAATAACGTAGCAACATCGTCTAGTAAATGTATAAATAG